TCCATTTTGATCGTAAGAGGATTGATTCCCTGATTCTAAAAGCATTCTTCAGTGATAAATCTAATCGTAAGAGAATTTTGTTTCTAAGATTGGTCTCAGTACGATTTTATGCTTCTAAAACCATATAATGGTGACTTACCATAAGTCTAAAATCATTTTATATTGATTGTAAAGACAAAAACAATTAATTTTTTCCATTTTTTGCACATATTTTTTAATAACGTTCGTAGATATTAATTTTACTACATCATGTTTTCGAATAAATATATATTTTAGAAGACGATGATAAAGATTTCTCACTGATTTCTAGATTTACTACTAATTAACGAAACTGCTTTACTAAAAATAATTGATTACTAATGAATCAAGTGACGTGAAAATCTATTTTTATACACGAAAACATTACGCGAATTGATGGAAGATCTTAGAAGATTACGAAGGAGGAAACAAGTTTTTTACAGGAAAAAATCAATCAAAGATTAAAAAAAAGTTTAAAAGAAAAGAAGTGAATTATATAGGATATAGAATTTCGTTATAGTTGTCTCTAGTTACAATTCTAGATAATATATAATTTTTTGAAGAAGAAAAATTATAGATGATGATACTTTGATGGATGAAGCATGTCAAAGTTTTATTGTAATTATTATAGCAAAAATAGTAGATATTTATTGATTTAATGGCTTGATAAGAAATGTTAAGAATGATAAACTGATAAAATTCTACAGTGAATATTTGCTTTATTAAGAATATATATAATTCTGTAAATTATGTAAGTTAAAGTATAAATTTTATATAAATGATCATGAAAATATAGTAATTAATTCAGTATATGTCAGGCACATATAAAGATTTATATGCATATTAAGTATAGATAAGAACATGATGTCTGCAGATATAAATATGAAATGCAGATAGCAAGATGTACTGTACTGTACATATGAAAATAACGTAAGACAAATGTATATGTTATGTTCATTAAAATAAAATGCATATAAGAAATCTTGTCCAATTTTCATGAATACATTTCATATTATTCCAAACATTCTTTAATTAAATATTGTATAAAAATATTCAGTAGAGATTTTGTTTAAGATTCTTAATAATAAAAGCTATTTTCAATTTATAACCAAGTATCATTTGAGCTATCTAGCGGAGTTTAAGAGTGAATTAATCAATAACATTACATTATTATTATTAACAGTAATAATACTTATCGTACATATCAGTAACTGATGTAACATTAAACGTATCTTCACTAAAAAAAATTTATTTTTAATAGATAAATTCAGAGAATACGATGGAGAAATTTAACGAGTACATCCAGATCACTCATTAAAGATAACTCTTTATGGAATAATTAAGAATTCGAGTGGGATTTAACGGTTGCACTTAAGTAGTAAAGCTTAAAATCCATTCAAAATTAACATATTCATATATTTCACTTTATTTTTTTCATTTATATATTTATATAAAATGCTTCATTAAAACAGAAAATATCGAATTATGGTCAAGGTTGCTTACAAGTTGGACTTCACAAAATCCAGTCGAGCTAGATGTTTATCTGTTTAATTAATGTTTTGCATACAAAATTATTTTTCCTTTACATTTATTAGTATTCTATAAAGGAAAATGTAATCTAAAATTTGATTTCGTACAAAATTAGGCTGAATGTAATGGAGAGTGACCGAAATAAACTTTATTTATTATGTCTTGATTCGCAGACACAAACCACTGAGATGTTTGCCAAATATCTTTTTAAAAAAAACTTGAAGAATGAAAAAAATAATGGCTGGAAATTCGCCCAAGTTTCATGTTTGTACTTCTAGAAATATGTTACTTTATGCAATATTCTTCCTTCTCTCAATTGGGCGAGGTTATAAGTTAAATTCTGTTTACTACTTCTGAAGCTTGAAAGAATATTTTATATTGAATTCTATATAATGTATTATTGTTGTTACGTTACATTATCTATAAACTTTACTATTTTTGTTTAAAATTCAAGGTTTTTGCTATTTTCCGAATCAGTCAACCATGTTAAAACATATTTTAACCTACTATTTTTGTTGGCTTTTCATCCACTTCGTTACTTATCTTAGTAATTACTTTGTAAACAATGCATTATTATTTACAAAATATGTAAACAAAAAACTTTTATATTTTTAAAATTTATATGAATTAGGACAGAAAACAAAATTTTAGTTTATATTTTATAAAATTGTTTCTTTTCCTAAGCTAATTTATTGAAAATTTTAGAGGTCATCGCTGTTTTTAAATTTCTTTAAAGAAAAATATTAGAGTTTTTTAAATGTATGAAATTATTTACATATTTTCCATAGAAAAACATATGAAAAATATATAAAATTAGATGTAAAAAGAATTTTAATATCCGTGAAATAAAATCGAAATAATCAACTGAAAATGTTAATTTTTTAATGTTTTTTTAAGATATATAAGAAGTCGTTGACAGTTGTGAACTGATTAGGACTTGATTTCGTATCATAAAAAAATGGGGAAACAAATTAATTAATTTAAATATACCGATTATTATTTTTAACATGAATATGTTTATTATATACACAAAAGCTACTAATGTTTAATAAAAAAAAAACTAATCTTAATCTTAATAAACTACTCAAAAAACAAGAAATTTTATAGAATATACAGTCGAGCCTGAATAATAGCTACCCCCATCAACGATCATTTTTTTTCAAGAACTTTTTAAACAAAAATGCATAGAAAATAACCTCTAAACAACGGCCATTTCTTTAGTTTTCGTCAGTGGTCGTTGTTCAGACGTTTGACTGCACGCTAAAGTTTTTTTTATTTGTTCCGATTTATATGAATTAAAATTTTAAGAGATTCGCTAGAAAAGTTTGTAAATAATAACAATATTATAGTATTTACAAAACAATTACTAAGCTAAATAATGAAGTGTACGAGAAGCCAACAAAAACAAATTCTACAAGGTTAATTCATGAGAGAAAAACTAAGATTTTTCTGAAAATACTCTCAATCTACTAAATTTTTCAATTAAAAAAAATTTGAATTAATTTTTTTATGTTGCAGATTATACATAAAAAGTTTCTTATGGATAGTCATAGCAAAAAAATATTTTTAAAAAGTCCAAAATTCGCACAGAAAAACTAACTATTCCTAATTACTGCAGACAAAAAGAACTTAAAACTTCTTTTAACATTTCTTAAACTACATAAGACATTGATAACATATATGTATATATAGTAGCCCTTGATTTAACACACTAATTGGATAACTATTGCTGAAAGTCCGTTAAATCGAATTTAATAAAAGCATAAATTAAAAAATACAACTTCTATACAATACTATTATAATTCTATACAATATTATTATAATGTAGATTGTAGATTGAGTAATTTAAAATTACCGATTCATCTTTTAGCGTGCCCTATTTGCGAATATAAAACATTTAAATTTTTTTAGGACAGAAATTATTTTGTCCGTTAATCCGAAGTCCATTAAATTGAGGTGTGTTAAATCGAAGATCTACTGTACAGAACATAAATATATAATATATATAATTAAATAAAAAACATGCTTTAAATCTAAAATATAGCAACAAAATTTTTAAAAATTTAATAATCTTCGTAATTAAAAAAAGCAATTATATTAAAAATTTTCCAAGTTTTCCATTTTCTGAAATTAAAATTTCAAGCTTTAAGAAAACATGTTTAAAACTGGAAACAGTTTAAACTATTGATCTTTTTAAGAAGAGTTGGAGAAGCTAGCAATAACCTTGATAGTCACATGGACTATAATTGAAAAAGAAAAAAGAAAAGTAATAATAAAAAAATCTATATCAGTTACAAGTTCTTTTTTTTGTAAAACATTTATAAAATGTTAGCATGTGACAGAACCACTACATCAATGGATTTGACTAGGGACGTACTCCCTTGTGCCAAAGCCTTCCTTTATTGGAACAACAGATCGATCGTCAGACTAACCTTCTGTTGACATAAATGGCTCCAACTTAAACATCTGAAATGGGCATATAGAGTAATATTTTAATTAGAAAGATAGCCAAAAAATTTTTTCTTATTGGTAACGACTTGGATAACTGATACTTTCTTTTTTTTTATTGAAGGAACATTAACTGTTTTAATTATCTTCCGTTTACTTTGTATGCGATACTTTTCATCTCCATTGAAGCGTATACGGCAATAAAATGAAGTTAAAACAGAATTTATACCAGTTTATCGATAGAAAAGATTTAAGCTTTTATAATAAAAATGAGTTTACTGTTTTAAGTTAATTTTAATTTTAAAAAGTTGACTAAACTATCATTTTCTTTTTCTAACTTAATTTTCTTCTGAAGTGGGTCATTGTTTTAAACTACACGTAACATAAAGAAAGAGACATGATTTTTATTTGAAGTGTACAAGTGAAAGCATTTTGTTACAGTCTTATTCAGCATAGTACAAGCTAATAAACTTACTAAAGAAAATTTTAAAAAAAGAACATTGTGTATCTATATATTCCCTCAATGTTGGCAGCAGTAGTATTTGGTACATGTTAGAATTGTCTGATTGATTGTTCGGTCTTTAAACTACTCTGTATAAACTTGCAGGCCATGTTTTAAGTTTATATACAATATTACAAAGTGTACTTAAAAGATTTCGTTTTATAATAACATGCCAATGTTTTCTATGGTAAAAGTCTATGGCCAGTTTTATTTCTGAAACGTTCTTACAATTATTTTTAAAAAGTTGTACATTTAGGATAAAATAAATAATTCTAATAAATCTTCGTTATTTCTTTCTTCGTTATTTATATAATTTCTTTGTTAATACTAGCATTTAATACTGTTTAATTTCATAATAAATCGTGGATATTTCAGGAAAAACTTTCATCTATATCTGAGAATATTCTACAATAATTACACGTCTGTGCTATGTTACGATACAGTTAAAATTTAACATGAATTTATATTCTGTAATTTAGAAAAAAGTAAAAATAACACTCACCTGCAGGTACCTCCATTCATGCACAGAGTATTAGCTGCTGTAGGTCCACAACTTTCATTATATTGACATTCCTTGCCAAAGAAGTCGGAGAAACAAGAACAATAATAAGATTCAAAGTCAGCAGTAGCAAAACACTTTCCAGTAAAGGAACAATGATGGTAAAGACATTCATCCTTCCTAACGTTCTGATTTTTATCAACAATCTCATAGGTTATATTAAAACCGAACACATCCAAGAAGAATTGCCGAATTCGAAGATGAATATTTCCAGTTTCTCTTACAGAAAACTCCAATACAAGAATGTGTTTGTTAGTGATAAGATAAGTAGGTTCTTTATCGGAGTTTAGAATACCATAGTCCTCTTTCTCCATCTTTAGACCTTCAGTATAGAGTGTATATTCCGCAGCTCTCAACCCATCTCTCATATAGTACTGTGTGAAATAAACTGCTACTACCTTATCCTCGGGCGCTTCTATCACCCACTTACAATAAATAGGTACTGGATATGCATTAGGAAAGTTTGGAGAAGTTATCACACCTCGAGAATCTCTCAGAGTTCCACCACAGTCCGTAAATGTCGAAACTTGATTCGAAGATTGAGAATTGTAGGCTTGTGACGTCACGAGAATTAAGATAAGCAATCTTAAAAGATATACAGCGCAGTTTGTCATCTTAAACATCTTCATCTTTCAGAAAATCTTTGTTTTATTAAAAATAAAAAACTCACATGATCATTTTTTCCGTCTCATCATTAAATGGATCAGAAGTAATTTATCAGTTTCGGTTATTTTCTTTGGGAATTTCTTCTAAAAATATCCATTTGGAAATTTTAAAAAATCATTTTTTTTTATTTTTTTCATCTTTCTTTCTCGCTTCCATTCTTACAGATCATCGAGACTTGAGTTTATTTTCAATTGTCGATAAATCTGGCATGTGCTACATTGACAGCTTGAGAAAAGTTGTAGTTCTTTATTGACAGAAACTCCAATTTCTTTCTTTTCTAATATTTACACGTCTAAAAATAAAAAAAAAAAAAAAAAATTTATATATATATAAGGTATAACATGTATATAAGATAGAGTTATAAGAAAAATAGAAACAAAAACGAGTAATTTTATTTTCGACTCGAATGACTCGTAAATTTTTTTATTTCTTGGATATAAATCTATTTTATGAACATCGGGAAAAGGGAAGTAAAACATAAAAAAAAAGAGATTTAAGATCAAAAATAAATTGTAAATTTTTAGGAAAATAAAATAAAATAAAATACACGAAGAGAGAGTGACAATGTTTACGTCAATGTTTTGTTATGAATAACAAATTCTTCTTTTCAATTTTTATTATTTTTTTAACTTAGTTTTTATTGTATTTTTTTTAGTAAACACATTGGATAAATTAAATTAAATTTTAAGAAACTGTATTACATTATTTAATATAAAATATATATCATATATAGTATTAAATATAAATTTATTTTTTAAATATATTTATTCATTCTAAACTGCATTAAAAATATATTAAAAATTGTTATTAAAATTTATAAAAATTCATAAAAATTTTTAAAAATGATATATCATCATAAAGCATCAAATATACATAAGAATTATTATATAATTTATTATCAGAATAAACATTTAAAAAATATATATAAAACGTGTTACAAAAATAAA